CTGCCCTTGCTCTGCTCCATCTCTTCCACCAGCCAGACTAGTGAGGCCAGAGGGCCAACACTGGCAGCAGAAGTCTGCCTCCCACCCTTCCCTCTCTGCACTCACTGGAAAAGTGCAGCAAGGGAGCCCCAGCTCCCACTGCTCTCTGAACACACTGCTTCTGATCCTGCCCCTCCCCCAAAGTGGTGCAACCCAAGAGCAGGCCCTTGCTCTGCTCCATCTCTTCCACCAGCCAGACTAGTGAGGCCAGAGGGCCAACACTGGCAGCAGAAGTCTGCCTCCCACCCTTCCCTCTCTGCACTCACTGGAAAAGTGCAGCAAGGGAGCCCCAGCTCCCACTGCTCTCTGAACACACTGCTTCTGATCCTGCCCCTCCCCCAAAGTGGTGCAACCCAAGAGCAGTGTGAGCTAGAGCAGTCTTGTGCTGGCTAACTCCCTCCCACCTCGGGGTGAATGTAGCCCCTCATGGGCTCCTCACACATCGCCTCTGCCTCCGCTGCTCTGATGATCAGATACCCTCCACAACACCCCTTTCATGCTCCACAGGCCCTACAAGTGCCTGTCACAACACGCAGCATATCACATACAGTGCACTAAATGCCCTACTAACAACTGTGTGGGTGAAAGAAGTCAATCACTATGTGTCTAAATGAACTCACACAGAAAAATGATAAAGGACAACAAATACACAACACCCAGGGATAACCATTTTTCACAAAACAATCATTTCATATTCGACGTCTCCCTCCTTGTCCTCAAAGCAAACTTGAGTAACAAGCCTGGGAGCTTACATTCATAATTTTGCTCAATATCAAAACTCATGGACTCAATGAAAACACTGAATGTATGGGTCACTACAGCAATCTGTAATTCACTACCCCTCTTTTTGTCCTACCACTATAGAAAATTAACTTCCCACTCCACCTTGTATTGTTTTTTGGAACATGTTAACTCCTTATCTGTTCCATCTTCTCTTTAGTGGTGGCATTCTGAAACCTCTCCCAGACCTGAAGAAGACCCATTGCCATACCCATCTTGTCCTTTTGTATGACTTTAGAAATATGAACTTATTATTAATTCTTTACACTTGATAGTGCTTTTGCTTTAGAGACCTCAAAACATTTTACTATAATGTAAAAACAACGAGAAGTCCTTCGGCACCTTAGAGACTAACATATTTATTAGGGCATAAACTTTTGTAGCTAAAACCCACTTCGTCAGATGAATTTGAGTGAAAATTACAGAGGCAGAGCTATATATAAATACTAGTATAACAAAAGGAGGAAGTTACTTATCAAGTATAGGGCCAGTGTTAATGAGGCCAATGCAATCAGGGTGGATGCGACTCACTCACAGCAGCTGATGAGGTGATGTGAATACTAAGAGAAGGGAAATTGCCTTTGTAGCAAGATAACCAATCTAAATCCTTATTCGGTTCTAATTTGATTGTATTAAATTTGCAAATGAATTGCAGTTTTTCAGTTTCTTTTTGAAATCTGGTTTTGAAGGGTGGTTGGTTTTGCTTTTTGGTAGAAGGATGGCTACTTTTAAATCCATTACTGAATGCCCAGGGGAGTTAAAGTGTTCTCAGTGTCAGAGTAATACAAGCTGCAGTAGAAAATTCAGTCCTGCTTTCCTTTTAATCTTTTTATTTGTTGCTAAGTTTCTAAAACTTATTTCTGTTTGATCTATAAATTGTCATATTTGGTCTCAAGCCAGAGGTGAGTTTTTCTTTACTTATAAATAAGGTTCCACAATTTTTAAGTTTTGAATAAAAAGCTCCAAAACCAAACAACCCCCACTTCATGCATACACTCTCATATGTGTGGGAACTAGGGATACAGGCGGTACCTCACACCTGAGATCCTAGCTGCTGCTCTGAGCCTGGGGTTCCACTGCCAGTCCCATGCCCAGGGTTCCAGCTGCTGGGCACCCCCAGGTCTCAGCTGCTGACCCCAGCCTCTACCCCCTTACTCCAGTTCAGTTTCCCTCGACCCCCGGTCTGGGCGGGGGTGGACAAGGGTAAGGGGGAGGCTTTGGGCACTTGCCCTCTATAAAAAATGTTCCAGTGTCACGGTGCCCTCCTGCCTAGGATTCTACCCAGACAATCCAGTTTTTGGCTTCTGTAGGCACAGTTAGGGCATATTTGCCAGGTGCCCAGAAAGTCCATTCAAAAAGGGGACCTGGCAATGTCCCATCAGATATACTGACCAGATACCAAAAGTACAATTGCCACGCGGTAGGAGGTACCAGCTCAGTAACCTAGGCCAGCCTCTGCTCAATCAGGACTGCCTCCTACCTGCAGGCAGACTCCTTGCCTTGTCAGGTTGTAGCAGCTTCGATCCCAGCCTCAGAGCAGAGGGAGCCCAGGTCAGGGGAAGGAGATGGCATTACTAGAAAGGTGGGGGGCAACCCTACTACAACCTTACCAGGAATTCTGCGCACAAATAGTTCAAAAATGAAAGACTGCTCTTGTTCAAACATTACTTCTCCTGTAGATCTTAATGAGTGCTAAGAAATAAGCCAAGATGAAAGACAATTGGTTCAATATGTCTAAACTCAAAATAAGTTGCCTTGCATCAACCTACTGGCTTGTTAAAATTATCCCCTCAATATGAGTAGCCTGTAATGCAATAAAAACCACCTCCCCAAACAGTGATGAGCTGCAATTGACCTACCGAGGCGAATGTACTGTGAGTGTAGACACTTTGGGTACATCTACACTGCACACTTATTTTGAAATAAGCTGTTCTGGAATAGTTCTTCTGAAATAGCTTATTTTGAAATAACACGTCTACACTGCAGGGAAGCCTCAAAATTAGTCTGAGGCAGGCTTCCCTAATGTAGACGTGCTATCTCGATATAGAGACCCAGGAGGCACTGGAGAGGAATAACTTAAAAGGCATTGGTGAGGGGCTATTTCGAAAAAGCAGCAGTGGATCGTCTACACCACCTTATTTTGAAATAGCATTATTCTTAGGAGAATGAGGTTTATAGATTTTGGAATAAGCCAACCATTATTTCAGAAATTGTTTTGAAATAATGGAATGGCTGTGTAGACACTCACACATTTATTTCAGAATAACAGTCGTTATTCTGAAATAACTTTGCTGTGTAGACATACCCTTTGTGATCTATGTCAACCCTATCAGTTCTCAATCAGCTGTCCCACAATGCCCCATTGCCTGGGACAGTCACTACTCTGGTCACAATTTTAAACTCAGCTGCCCAGCAGTCAAAGACTTGGGAAACCCCTTTAAAACTCCATGTGTTTTTCAGATGTCTTTTCCTGATTGCCTATGTTGCCGAGCAGCTAAAGGAAAAAGGACATCTACTAGCAGATTGTACAGGGGTTACAAGCAAAGAGGTACAACGGGGATCAGCAGCAGCGCTGCATGAAAGCAAAGGCATTTCACTAGAGACACTACAGGACCAGGGAGCATAGTAATAGATTTGGTGCCAAGTCACTGATCTGCCTATTTTCACAAGGAACTCCAGCCATGCCATGAACCAGTAACTGTTTGAGATTCTGCCAGAGTCTAGACAGTTCTGCCTGGCATGTGCGGAGGAGACTAATGAAGGAGGAAGAAACGCAAGTAAGTGTGTCCGTGTATTTTTTCCCTGCGGAATATACATTTAAACAAGGAACCTGGCCCATCCCCCAGTTAGCAAAACAAAGGTACCGACGTTTTATTGTTTTGCTCATAAAGAAGAGTGAGAGGTACAACAAACAGAGGTAGAGCTGGCATCTGCTTTTCATTCCCCTGTTGGGTTAGAAATGGGGGGGAGTCACATGGAGTATATGTCTATGTGAATAGCAATGTCCCTTTTATTCTCTTCAGAAATCTGGATAAATCTTTCCTGGAGAGTCTCTGCAACCCTCTTCTGAAGGTTGCTAGGGATGATAGCTTAATTTTCCCTGTGCAGTAGGACACTTCCGTGCCACTCTGCAACGAGTTCTGCCAGTGCCATTGCAGTAAATAGGCTATTTGCATAGAGGCCTGGGCAACTTTGGGCACCAGTGACATGTTTGTTATCTGTGCCTTTTGTGACACTCAGGTATGATATTCCAACAAATCAGAATTACCTGTGGGAAATAGTGCTCATGTTCAGTGTCATTGCCCTGCACCCGTACCCAGGGAACAGGGATTGAATTAGTACAGCTTTGTGCAACAGAAGACCTTTCCTTCACCCATCCCTGGTGGGTTTTGTTCACTGGGGCTGAGCCTGGGCAGAGATGCTGTCATGTGACACTCCAAAACTGAAATGTTAGTAAGTATTTCCTACTTTCTCTTATGACTGCAAATCCAATGGTACATCTGTCTGTTTTAGCTGTGGCTGCTTTTATGGTGGCCTTGAGGGGTGATCCTCCGAGCCTACAGAACTCCTGACCCTGAGAAGGAGAAGGAGAAAAAAAGAGGACCTATTCCGTGAGTTCCTGTAAGCTAGTGCTACCTAGGATCATGAACAAAAGGCTTGGTGACCGACTCAGTATGACCAACAGCATGGAGAAAGGCAGATAGGACAGAAAAAAGGCCCAGAAGTCCCAGAAGAACAAAAAGAGGGAAACTCTTGTTTCAGGCACTCTCTGCTGGGGTCTGATAGTTATATTGTTACCTTGCTCATTAACATAACATTTTACTCTTGGAATTCCCTTGACACATTCCCCTGTGATTTCCAGCCCCTGACATTGGCTACTCACAGAAATCCCAGATGCTTTGCCTCTAAGTAGTGGTGTATCCCAGTTTGGCAGTTTTCTCTTAAATCACCATTCCTATAAAACATATAGCACACATGAGTACTTTTAACACATCAAAAGTAGATTTATTTAAGAAAGAATAGAGATCTAACTAGATATCAGAGTGTGGTGGAAACAAATGGCAAAACAAAATTTAAAAAATCCATGAACCTGGATCTACATTTGTCATTTCTAGCTAACACAGTAAATTTCAAGTTCTGTTTTTGGAGAATCCAATTATCCGTATTAGTGCACAAGGAATATTGCAGAATGAACAGACGCAGTTAAGCAAATGGTACTTGGAATTACACATCAAGCTCCACAGAATTCATAGTGTTAGGGAAACACACAGCCTTTGTAATAAATGTACAGCCAACACGGCACAGTTCTTAGCACAACTCAAACAAAATTCCAGGCTCAGAGAACAGTGCAGCACAGAACATTACCAAAGCAGATCATTAAAATGCTCTTTCAAAGCCTTCCTCAACCACATAGATTGACATTTGGTTCTTGCAATAGCCCTTGTGCCTGGGTATTCAAAGTCAGCAGACTGCTGCTCCATCTCCACCCTGGTGGCAGCCTTTCTGCCTTTTGCCTCACAGATATTATACTGGACCAACAGGCAGCTCTAATTATTGGGATATTTTTCTCACTGACATCCAATCTAGAGCATAAACACCACCAGTGTCCCTTCAGTCTAACAAAAGCACATTCAACAGTCTCTGCATCTGCTGTTCTGGAAGTCAAATCTTCCCTTGGTGCTATCAAAGTGGCCAGAGAATGGCTTCATGAGTCAGGGGAAAAAAGTTCACCCAGAATTATTACTGGCATTTCATTATGGTCAATGGCAATCTGTGAGACTGGGAAGAAAATCTCTGCTGGCAGTTTTCTAACCAGTCTTGTGTTCTTAAAAATATGAGCATCAGACACCTTTCCTGACCACCCACACGGATAGCAATGAAGCATCCCTGGTGACCAACCACTGCTTGCATAACTATAGAAATTAGCCCTTTCTGTGGATGTACTCTGTGGCCAGGTGGGCTGGTGCCAAAAGAGGGAACTGCAGTTTGGGAGCTCCATTGCTGCAAATCCATCCACTATGGCCCACACATTGCCAAGAGCCACAGTCCTGCTCAGCAAGAGATGATTAATGGCCCTACGCACTTGCATGACAACAGCCCCCGCTGTAGATTTTCCAACTCCAAAATTATTTCCTACTGACTGGTAGCAATCTCATGTTGCAATTTTCCAGAGCACATTCACCACTCATTGCTCAACTGTCAGTGAAGTTCTAATTCTGGTGTCCAGAAACTGGAAGGCTGATGCAAGGTCAGCACACAGATGAAGTTCTGCAGCCACACTCCTCATCCCAAACCTGCATTATGATAGGATCCCCCCAGCAGCACTCATTTCTAGGGCCCAGAAGCAGCTCTTTAGCATCTTCAGTTGCTCCCTGTACATCACCAAAAAGCTTGAATTGTTTTTTGCTATGTCGCTTAGCAAACTCATCTCAAAGACATCTTCATGCCCCCCATTGTTCCAGTACTTCCTGAAGGTCTGTACATAAAGAAGAATCATGCATCCTGTATTTGCCACTTTCATTGCAATACTGCAGAACTCTGCAAGCTCCATGCATCTGTCAGAGATGGCAGAGACCAAAAAATGCTGCATGAGTTTGTGGTGTTTTTAAAAAATGATGTGAAAATTATGGGATATGGATGACATGGGAAGAAGAAAGTTGCATGTTTGGGAGCTTGACCCCTTGTGCTCACAGATCCCTGGGCAAGTCATTACCATCTCACAAAACCTTGCAAAAGTATCTCAAAAGGGGTTGTGCCAGATGGCAGTGTAGGGCTCATCAGGATACCTACCATGGTGAACAACACTTGACATGGACATGAGCACTTCTGGGCTGTGTCTACACTGGCACCCTTTTCCGGAAAAGGGATGCTAATGGGACACTTCGGAATTGCAAATGCAGCGGGGGATTTAAATATCCCCCGCGGCATTTGCATAAACATGGCTGCCGCTTTTTTCCGGCTCAGGGTTTTGCCGGAGAAGAGCGCCAGTCTAGACAGGATCTTGCAGAAAATAAGCCCTTTTCTGGAAGATCCCTTATTCCTACTTGAAAGGAGGAATAAGGGATCTTCCGGAAAAGGGCTTATTTTCCGCAAGATCCCATCTAGACTGGCGCTTTTCTCCGGCAAAACCCCGAGCCGGAAAAAAGCGGCAGCCATGTTCATGCAAATGCCACGGGGGATATTTAAATCCCCCGTGGCATTTGCAATTCCGAAGTGTCTCATTAGCATCCCTTTTACGGAAAAGGGTGCCAGTGTAGACACAGCCCTGGTGAGTATATGCAGCACTGTCACTACCAGTCAAGCATACATGCACCCAACTGATATTGAAACTTCAGCAGATATGCTGACACATCTTACATCGACCAAAGTTTATAATGTTGACATGGTCGAGCAATCTTTGGGCTCTGGGAGAAAAGCTAGAGCAGTCTTGAAATGTATAAAGTGCAAATGTGTCATAAATTCACTTTTCTCCTTATTTCTGCAGTTGTAGGGCTGATCTCAGCTCAGCTGACATGCAGAATGAGGACCAGAATCTTTATTTCTTGAGCCAGAAAGAAGCCAGCTTCTGTCTCCAATCCCAGGTTAAGTTTATGGATCCAGCAGTTAGAAAAAACCTGTGTTTTACTTCTAGACTAAATTACTTTGTTCCGGATTCATGAAAGACTATAAACCTGAAGTTCCACAATGATATTTTTACCATTACCTTCCAGATGTAGAACTGTATGGCTGTGTCTACATTGTACACTTCTTGTGCAAGAACAGCCGTTCTTGCACAAAAACTTGCTGGCTGTCTACACTACACACGCGTTCTTGTGAAAGTAAATTTACAGTATAGAGTCGGAAAACAGAGCTTCTTCCGGAAGAGTTATTCCTCTCCCCACAATGAATAAGCCCTCTTGCACAAGCGCTCTTCCACAAGAGGGCAGTGTAGAAAGGCAACATGAATTTCTTGCGAAAGATGCTCCTGTGGTTAAAATGGCCATCAGAGCTTTCTTGCGCAAGAGAGCGTCCACACTGCCATGGATGCTCTTGTGCAAAAGCACATCTCTTGCGCAAAAGCACATGGGAGTGTGGACACGCTCTTGTGGAAGATTTTTTGCACAAGAACTCTTCCGCAAAACAGTTCTTGCATAAGAAGCCTACAGTGTAGATGTAGCCTACCTGTATACTGTACAAAAAGTCTCAGAGGGGTAGCCATATTTGTAACTTTCAAAACAGTGATTGGTCCTGTGGCACTTACAAACTACCAAAAAAATATAATCTAGAGCAGTGTTTCTCAACCAGTGGCACGAGTACCATTAGGGGTACTTGAGAGAAGTCTGGGGGGGAGGGGCAGGGTACGTCAACACAACTGAAATTTGGAGAAAACTGAATTTTTGTTTTAAGTTTTACAGCACTTTATTATTTTTATACTTTTTATACCCAAAATTTTCATCGCCTGCCCAGCTACAATTAAGTTATTTAAACAAATGTGTTGCAATGGTAAAGAAAAATTTGGTGTGTCTGAAAACTGTAGGTACTGGGGGTACTTTTTTTTTTTTTTTTGAAGAAGGGGTACTTTATAAAAAAAGGTTGAGAAACACTTATCTAGAGTATATGAGTATATAGTATTATGAGTTTTGTGCGTAAAACCCACTTCCTCAGATCCAAGATATTTATAAATAAATAAAAATATCTTGGTTCTGTGATTTCCGCTTCAGCTAATATAATCACAGAATCATAGAATACTATAACTGGAAGGGAAACTCAAGAGATCATCAAATCCAGTCCCCTGCCCTCACGGCAAGACCAAGTACTGTCTAGACCATCCCTGATAGGTGTCTGTCTAACCTGCTCTTAACTATCTCCAGTGGTGGAGATTCCACAACCTCCCCAGGCAATTTATTCCAGTGTTTAACCACTCTGAAAGTTAGGAAGTTTTTCCTAATGTCTAACCTAAACCTCTCTTGCTACAATTTAAGCCCATTGCTTCTTGTCCTGTCCTTAGGGGCCAAGAAGAACAATTTTTCTCCCTCCTCCTTGCAACACCATTTTAGATATTTTCTCTTTTCTAAATTAAGAAAAAGCCACTTTATCGTTTTACCAACGAAAGCTCATGATACTATTTTTGTTACAGGACTACAGGCAGTCCCTGAGTTACGCGGATCTGACTTACTTCGGATCCACAGTTACAAACGGGGTTTGCTGCCCGTCTCCCTGGTCTGCTGGAGACCAGCAGACCAGGGAGACGGGGAGCAAAGCCTCTGAGGACGCCGGCAGCGGGACAGCCGTGGCGCGTCTGGGCTGTCTGCTGCCCGCGTGCTCCCCGGCTTTGCTCCCCGTCTCCCTGGTCTGCTGGTCTGCTGGAGACCAGCAGACCAGGGAGACGGGGAGCAAAGCCTCTGAGGACGCCGGCAGCGGGACAGCCGTGGCGCGTCTGGGCTGTCTGCTGCCCGCGTGCTCCCCGGCTTTGCTCCCCGTCTCCCTGGTCTGCTGGTCTGCTGGAGACCAGCAGACCAGGGAGACGGGGAGCAAAGCCTCTGAGGACGCCGGCAGCGGGACAGCCGTGGCGCGTCTGGGCTGTCTGCTGCCCGCGTGCTCCCCGGCTTTGCTCCCCGTCTCCCTGGTCTGCTGGTCTGCTGGAGACCAGCAGACCAGGGAGACGGGGAGCAAAGCCGCAGAGCACGTGGGCAGCAGGACAGCCGCGGCACATCTGGGCTGTCCCGCTGCCCCCGTGCTCCGCGGATTTGCTCTGGACGCTTGTGGTACAGCAGCTGGGGGGCTGCTGGTTGCTCCCGTAGCGCCGCTCTGGGCGCTACTGGACCAACCCGGCAGCACCCCAGCTGCTCTGCCCCAGGCGTCTTGATTCAGCCACTGCTGGTCAGTTTCAGCAGCGGCTGAATCTGGATGCCAGTTCCGACTTACATACAAATTCAACTTAAGAACAAACCTATAGTCCCTATCTTGTACGTAACCCGGGGACTGCCTGTACTCGTATACTGTACAATATATCTTGTATGAAGATATGCAATAAACCCAGTGAATCATGGCTGTCCTGCAGTGTGGAGAACAAGAGAGTTATGTGTTTTATTATTATTATTATTATTATCATATGCACCTCAGCTTACTTTTTTGATATTTGCCTGCCTGCATACATTTAAATCAAAGGCAGTTGTTAGGGGGCAAACAAGCAGGAAACAAAACAATGGCAGAGCCAAGGCCCATATGCAATAAACCCAGTGAATCATGGCTGTCCTGCAGTGTGGAGAACAAGAGAGTTATGTGTTTTATTATTATTATTATTATTATCATATGCACCTCAGCTTACTTTTTTGATATTTGCCTGCCTGCATACATTTAAATCAAAGGCAGTTGTTAGGGGGCAAACAAGCAGGAAACAAAACAATGGCAGAGCCAAGGCCCCTTAAGGGAGCAATGGAGAGAATTGTTAACCCAGGAATGCTCCTGCCTGGCTCTAAGCAGGCTAGCA